GTTCGCCGGTCAATGTAGGTGGAGCTTTACGTTGTTCTGAATTTCCATTGAATGCTTTTCTCCACCCACGGTAGTGATGACTAGAATTTAAGAATCTACGATGACCAAGAAAGACATTCTTCTTACCAAATTCCAACTGCGTCCAATCTGTGTTTTCTTCACAGATAGGACACGCACATTGACCTTTAATGCTATACCCCGATAGATTTCCGTATGCTGGGAAATCATTAATTGTGCCAAACAACATCGCCCTCAAATTGAAATTTTCTTTCCTATATCCATCATAAACCTCCACACCGTTCTCCCACAAACTCTTTAAGTCTTCGATTAGAGGTGTCAGGTATACGTCTATGTCATTCCCTGATTGTTTAGGGCCAGAAATTAACATAGATAACGTCATGTACTTACGCTTCATACATAGCCATGGAGGTAGGTTATAAATCATAATAATTACAGGCCAGGTGGAATGTGAGATACTCTGCAGACCATGCGGATTCATTCCATCAGTCGATAATGCCAAGCGAAGGTTTCTAGCTTCTTCTCCAAAATCAAAATAATCATTATCAATTTTCATCCACTGTGGTGAATCTGCCGGATGTCGATACTTCCCATCTACAATTCTATCATCTGCATGCCAAGTCAGGTGTTTTGCATCTGTTTCACTACAAAACATGCGTCTGAATCTCAGAATTATAGGAAAATACCATAATACTTTTGCTGGTGACAATTTTTTCTTATACCGAGATACACCGCATTTAGGACACTCGTTTAATGATGCATATTCATTTCGAAACAAAATGCAATCATTTGGACAAGCATGTATCTTATCATATCTCATGCCAATAGAGCATAACATTTTTTTAGCTTCATAGGTTCGATTGGGAAGAACATTATCCTTCGGAAGCATCTCTTGAAGTAGGGCTAACAACTCTGTGAAACTTTTATCCGACCATCCATTACCCGCCTTTAAATTGTACAACTTTAATACCGCGGACAATCTTGTGAAAGTAGTGCAACCTTTATACAACGGTTTCTCTGCATCGCTTACCAACCTCTCAAACATCTTGGGACAATCTTGAAGATCTTCTTCAAGTGCTTCTGCAATCTCTTCGACTCGATCACAATCATATGTATCCCTGCCATTTTCCTTTGAAGCACATGTCGTATTATTCCGGGGTTCAACATTCTCGTTACTTATCTCACCATGTAATGTCCAACATGTGTAACTTCGATTAATTCCATGTCTCATTAAATGAGATTCCAACTGAACGGCGTCAACTCGACGCCCATAACAACATCCTAAGCAAGGACATGTGTTCCTACTAGGGTCTTTGGCGTGTTCAACAACAAACTTAACGAACTTCGATACCCCATTCTCGTACTCTTTTGACAATCAATTACCAGACATCCATTTTTTATCCATACTAATTGAGTAATTTACACTAAACTATAAAAGTTAAACAAAACAGAGAATACCTGTAAGGAAATCACTAACTTCTAAGAATGCTACGCAATAGGATGCTTGGAAACGATCACAACTTTGCTCTTCACAGGTAACCCCTATAGCAGACAAAATATAAATTTTATTAAAATCATATTAATAATTAACCAAGACAAAAATACTAGATAATCCACCAAAACAAATCATATTAAAAATACTAGATAATCCTTAAACCAAAATGACACCCTTACTAAACATTGATAAATCCTAACTAAACATATAAAACCATAATAACATATAAAACCATATCATATAAAACCATATTCATGTTGGCTACTCTCTTAAAAAATAGGAATTTCCAAACTATATTGAACATGCAAAATATAAACTCTTGTTTGTCAATCTAAAACATACAAAATATAAACTCTCTTAAAAAATATAAACTCTCTTAAAAACATATTCAACAGAGAGGCTTAACATAAAAACATATAAATCTCTTATCCACATTTTAATTATTCTTTCTTCCTTTCCATCATTTTCTCTTTATTTCCAAGAATTCTAACCACCAACCCAATAAAGTTGTTTTTTCTTAAGTATAAAGTAGTATTAAAGAAACTAGTCCTTACACACACTCTACTCTAACTTTACTCTATGATTGTTATCCATAAATTATTATCATTAACAACTATTAATTAATATTGCTCACCCACTCTAATAAAACTTTGAGGACACCATACTTAAACAAACAACGAAACATTGCATTTTCATGACCAAACAGTTATCACAAACAAAACTCTCTTATAAACTCTCTTATAAACTCTCTTAAAACATATAAAATATAAACTCTCTTAAATGTTAAATGTAATTCATTGTTTTGATTTGATTTGATATGATTAGATTTGATTTGAATATTTTGGACCTTTTATGTTTTGGGCTTTTGTAAACCTAAAACTATAAATAGGGTGCCTTGCTTTGTATTCAATCACAACATAGAACAGATTTCACACTTGCAGTTTTAGCAAGTGAAAGTTCTATAAGCAATAAGAAATCCCACAGTTTGTGGGTAACAATTTTCTCCAAATATTTCTTCTCTCATTCTTCTCTTTCTTATTTGTTATTCTTCTTCTCTTTTGTTGTTCTTGATAATTACTTGTTATTACCATTACTATTATATTGTGGGTTTGTTCATCAATCTTGAGATCAAGATTGAAGGAAATTCTTCATAGGGTGTGAGGTGAATTTCCAACATTAAAAAATATAAACTCTTGTAGAAAACATATTCAGTTCAAATACTTAACTTGATTCTGGTTATAAACTCTCAAATATAAACTCTCTGTTTATAAAGACTTAACTTGATTGCATTCAAATAATAAAAACATATTCAGTTCTACTTAAAGATTACAACAACAATGGTGAAAATATACGTAAAAAAGAAAACCAGAGTAAAACTTCAAATACCGTAACAATGGCGGAAATGCAATGCAGACGAGCAGAGAGACGGTGAACGGCGGCGAAATGCAACTGAGGAGGGCGATGGTTGGACGGCGACGGTTGGATGGCAACGGTGGGTTTATAGGGCAACGTTCTTTGTTCGCCAGAGAAAAAGAAAGAAAGAAATACGATATGACTGTTCTGTTTCTCATAAAAATTCTGGTGGGTATTTTAAATTAATTCTAACTAAACATATAGCAGCGCTTTTTAATGGCTTTAGCAGCGCTTTAAAAAGCGCTCTCAAAGATCTTCTTATGTACCCCATATAGCAGCGCTTTATGGAAAAAGCGCTCTCGTAGACTAGACCTACAGCAGCGCTTTAGAAAAGCGTTGTCTTTTGGCTGTCTTAGACCCCCCCCCCCTTTAGCAGCGCTTTTTAAAAAGCGATGTCTTTGGGCTGTCTTAGACTCCCCTTTTAGCAGCGCTTTTTAGAAGCGCTGTTTTAGGACCCCCATTTAGCAGCGCTTTTTGAAAAAGCGCTGTCTTTGGTTATCAATTTTTTTCTTTTTTTTTTATTCCTCTTTAGCAGCGCTTTTTCTAAAAGCGCTGTCTATGTATGCACCGCTAAATGTCAATTCTAGCGTAGTGATTTACCCTTCTTAATCTTAAAATAACAACTTTATTAGAATTAATATTTATTATTTTAAAAATTCAAATTAGTAAAAATAACTAAATGTTATGATTATTATTATAAATAATCAAATATTTAGTTTAGTTATTGGTTTTTATTACTATGTAAAAATATGCATTTAAAAAAATGTACTAGTGAGGCTAATATGACCGGTTAATTGTCCTGCCCCACCCTATTGACAGTACATATGCACAACAACTTCCAATGGCTATATATCATGCTTATGCATTACTTAGACCATTACATATTTGTTTTTTTTCAAAACCACAAGACTAGTGCATTTTTGAAAATGTGATAAGTTTCACTTGTTTTTTCCTATCAGTTTTACATCTAAAATAGTCAGAACTAACCAAATCATTGTAGATTGTTATATTAATTAATCAAATTTTATTCAAACATCTTGTTTGTATCTAATATAGGTTTGTTACCATATTGTTTTTAATAGATTCATTATCATCCAGTTATCATTGTATCATTAATAAATTCATCTGTACATTCATTCAATTGTGTAATTTACTTTGTAAAAACACTTTCTGCTCTGACGCATTTTAAAACTCTGAGTTTAAAAAACATTTTAAAAATATTTTTAATAGGGTCAACAAATTTAGAAAACCTTTTAAACTTTCACACACACTATAAAATTCAATAGGGTCGACAAATTGTTTCATTGGTCAGGACGTGGTCGTCTAGCAACCTCTTAAATGCCTCCACAAGGACTGAGTCTTCAGGGGCTTTATTTCAAAATTGAATTACACGTTATTAAATATACAGACATATTTTGTTTTGAATAACTTTGTATTGTAGCCTAACTTCACTTGTAATTGGAGCTAAATTCATCGACTTGTAATTTACTCTAAATAGACTTAGAAATTATATTCCAATGTTATTTCTTTACATCTTTGACCTATTTTACAGAATCAATACATCTATTTATTTATTAATAAATCAATTCAGACCAGATTTCACAATACTTCAAATAAATATCGAAGTTCAGTAGGGTTGGAACAAATCTCAGATTTATTAGAGTTGGAGTAGATTTCGGAACTCAAACAATATATATTTATGAATTTTCTATCGAGAGATTCTCACATCAGCTCTCCAGCGTCTGAGTCAACTATTTATCAACTAAGTCAATCTTTTTTAACAAATCATAAGTATCTTTCTCTATACACATAGTTTAGTTAAAAAATTTATATTTCATGTTAATGGAGTACTCTATTAACTCAGTGTAAAATACACGTTTGATGACACTTCTTGAATATACACGTTTGGTGACACTTCTTGAATTCCAAGCTCTTTAAAGTCCACTCACCACCACTACTATAAACTACCTTAGTTTTCTACTTCTCTCTCCATCTTTCATTCCTCTTCACTCTCTCTAACCACTTCCATATTCCCTATTTTTCTTGTATCCCTTTATCCTAATACTCTATTAATATGATAAATTCACAACATTCATCATATCTTATAGAATCCAACATGTCGATCCATCATGTTTCAAATGCATCATTATTTTTGCCAAAAGCTTTTCCACCATTCCAACATAATAATCCAAATTCCGTTACAAATTTTCCGCTTGTAGCAATTGTTATAATAGGAATGATGGCCACATCTCTCTTGTTTTTGGCCTACTATACTCTTGTTATCAAATGTTGTCTCGATTGGAATAGTTTTGATCTTGTGAGAGTGAGAAGTTTTTCGTTTTCAAGACAAAATGATCAAAATCAATCTTCATCATATTCGATGACATCGGAGGCGAGAGGATTAGAACAAGGTGTGATTAATTCGATTCCGATTATTCGCTACAAAGAAGAAAAGGAATATGGTGATGATGGAAGAGTTTCTTGTGAATGTGCTTTTTGTTTGAATGAGTTTGAACATGATGAGAAACTTAGAGCTATACCTAATTGTAACCATTTATTTCATATTGATTGTGTTGATGTTTGGCTTCAAAACAATGCAAATTGTCCACTTTGTAGAAGAAGAGTTTCTTTGACAAGAGAAATCCATGTTGAAAATGTTGAAAACATCATTGGTGATTGTGAAGATTTTGTTGTGATTGATTTGGATCATGATAATGAACATGATGATGAGGAGGGACAAAACTTGCATGAAAGAAGACATGAAAGAGGTAAAGAATTGGTGGTGCCTTCAAGAGATTCTATTAGTTCTAATTCACGCAAGAAAGCAAATAAGCTTCAAAAAGTGAGTAGTTTGAAGGATGGGGGTATAGTTGGTATTAAAGGCAAAGATGATGGTTTTTTAGTCCAACCAATTAGAAGGTCTTTTTCATTGGACTTATCCATTGAAGTTTGTGGTGATAGTAGTGATAGAGCTAAGAGATCATTATTTTCCTTTGGACATGGAAGTAGATCAAGAGGTGTTGTCTTACCAATTCATTTGGACCCTTGAGAGTTTCTTTATATGAAATTGTAAGAGTTAGTTTTTGTCCCTAAAATTTGTGAAATAACAATTTTATATCTTAAATCAAACAGTTTCTAATCAAATCAATATATACATTGATACTTCATATTTTTAATTTGTTATTGGCGCAGGAAAAAATGTAGTGAATCAAGTTATTTGCATTATCATCATGCATGGTGTTTTTCTTCCATGGTCTTATGTATGCAGACTTTAAACTCATGTCATAATTTCATTTTACACCCTGCCACAAACTTGATCATGGTATATATCTATCATTCCAAGCTTTTATATAAATGTTTTGAATTTTGGTGGAGCTAAAGGTTTTGTTAAGAAATCAGCAATTTACTCTTGAGTAGGAATTGGTAGGAGCTTGAGCATATTCTTTTGAACTTTTTCCTTAACAATATGACAATCTATCTCCAAATGTTGTTTACTTTTGTAGCTTCTAATCCTAGAAAGTATTTAAGAACACCAAGATCCTTGATTTTGAAGCTTTTTTCTAGGATGTTTTTATTCGATTGAATTCTCCAAGTGAAGTGCATGTTATTATGATATCTCCAAGTGAAGTGCCTGCTATTATATGATAACCTTTTTGTACAAATAGTTGAGTCAGTTTCTCATACCATTTTCGACTGGTCTGCTTCAAGACATACAAACTCTTTTGCAGTTTGCATACTTGGTTTGGATTGTCTTGGACACCATCGGGAATTTTCATTTAAACATCTTCTTGTAAGTCTCAATGCAAGAAAGTTTCATTAACATCTAACTAATAAATATGCCAATTCTTTTGAGAAACAAGTGCAATGAGAGTTCTAACAGTTGTGAGTTTTGTTACATGAGAGAAAGTATAAAAAAAATTCAACCATTCTATTTGATTGTAGCCTTTAGCCACTAATCGAGCTTTGTATCTTTCAATAGAACCATCAGCTTTGTCAACCCACTTACTACCCATAGGCTTCACATGTGAAGGTTTTTCAACTAATTACCAAGTGTTATTAGTAGCTAATGCATCTCACTCATCTTTCATAGCCTTCAACCAATGGTCATTGTTTGTATGCTTCTAAGTATATCTTAGGTTCAACATAATTAGTGATAGACATAGCAAAACATTTTTGTGATGATGATAAATATGAAAAAGAATGAAATAATGCAATAGGGTGGAGGCTACCTGAAGATGATGATTCCTTGTGACTTGAAGAAGAATTGTACATATAGTCATGTAAATATGATGAAGTTTGTTATTTCTGGTAGGTCTAGTTCTGAGTTTCTGAATTGTTAGGGACAGTCTGGATCTTCAGTAGGTGGTGTGTTATCGTGCTCAAGTTCAGTGTTAATAGTTATGTCAGAATTGTAAGGTTAATTTCAGTTGTTTGGTTAGAGTTGTTATGTATGGATTCAGGTTCAGGTTCAGGCATGGTAAGATGGTGAGTAAGAGTTGAGTGATAATTTTGGTTGAAATTTTTATGTTCAAATGGGGTGGAATGTCCAAATTTTGTATGGTAGGTCCAAGTTATATATGATTAATGAGATTTATAGGGTAATATATGTTCATGGTGTATAAGATTTCTTGATTTTATGATCTCTTTGTTGTCTATATCCAAACGGATTATGCCTTTCATACCAGTCTTATAACCAAGGAAGACACACTTTTCTTGCTCTATGAGCAAGCTTAGTTCTATGTGCCTCTAGTGTAGAAGCATAGACAATAGATCCAAAAAACTTTCAAGTCATGCATGTTAGGACTTTGTTGATTCATGATAAAATATGGAGATTTGTTGTCAAGGACAAGGCTATGGAGTCTGTTCATAATGTATAAGGCATGTCAGACAACATAAGACCAAAAGGACTTAGGTAGATTAGATTGAAAAAAGGATGGCTTGAGCAATGTTTAGAAAATTGTTCAAAGATCGATTCAAGTCTATAAATTTCTTTGAAGTTCTTCTCATAGGATCTTCAAGTCTAAATAGAAATTAGTTACAACATGGAATCTTGTCGTAAACCATAAATTTCTTGCATCAGTTCAAAAATGTGCACCGAATCTCCTTGAGAAATCTGATCTTTAAGATCGATTCAAACATTTAAAACATTTTTCATGAACACGACGGATTTTTCAATGGATTCAGACACAAATTTGATGATCCACAAATGTACAAACATATTTCACAGGTTCCATGAATGGTACAAGCACTACTACGGAAAACAACTATCACAACGGTTGGAAAATGGGATACCACCACGTTGGTCCAACCGTTGTGAGGTAAGATGTGATTGTATGTATGATGTTTTTCACCATAGATGTACAACTATGATTGTATCTATGTAGCACGCTACCTACCACAATGGTTACTTTAAACAACCGTTGTGATATTCTTTAATTCAAAATATTTAACAACGGTTAAGCTAAATAACCGTTGTGATATATAGACATGAGTTTATTATAAATTATGTGGAATGCTTATTTTACCAATGCTCATAAAACATATAACCTTGCAATATGCATTAGGACATTATAATATAATAGATTAAGTTATATTAGAAGAACAAGTTCACGTTCAATACTAGAGGAGAGTTATTCAACTCATTATCCATATTTTTCTCTTTAACAATTAGAACTTTGTTTAATGATCCTAGTTCTTCAACCGCCCCTGACTCCACCTCTAGTTATTTTTGCAAAATTTTATTGATAAGCCCAAGCTTTTAAGATTAGCATGAATTTTGGTAAAACTAACTTGACAACAAGATGTTGGACAATATGTCCTAATATGAAGAACAAACTGAAGAACAAGATGTTGGATAAGATGTCTTATTGTCATACCCAAAATTTTGACCCCTAGATTCCATTATCATTATAGGTGCATCAAGCATGTGTTATTTAACTTAACTGTTTCAAAGTTGATACTTGTCAAGATGCAGATGAATTAGGGATTCACACTAATAAAATCAAAAATCTTGTGGACTGATCAGTCAAGGTTTTGGGTTGATATTCTACAAATCAAGTCTTCATATCATCAAGAGACTCATATCTTGCCAAGAACAAGTGCTATTTGAGGTTGTTACCAAAAGAATAGGAGCAGCAGTGCAAACCCTGATTAGGGTTTCTAGTGGAAAAAGTCAACTAAAGTTTGAATTTTGGTCTAAATGGGTTTCTAAATATTGAATCATGGTTTATGGCACTCCTATGAATTGTTAAAGTCTCACCAAGAAGTTTGAAAGACTCAAAAAATCTAGAACATTGAGGATCGATCCTGAAGATTTCAACTGTTCGGTTCGTCTGTCTGGAAAGTCAACTCTTTAAATTTTAGGGTTTTGACCCCAAATTGAAGCAAGCTAGTCTTCCAACATAATTTTGTGCCTAAATAGTGAGTTTGGTGGAGATTTAAGCAAGGATTGATGGATAACTTGCAAATCAAAAAACTAGGGTTCACGAAAAACCCTAATTTTAAGCCAACTTGAAATGATCATAAATTCCTAACCACGCATCCAAATGGAGTGATTCAAAGCTTGTTGGAAAGATCTAAAGGATACCTATAAAAGTTTAATATGGGGTTTAGGTACAAAAGTGCATATATTTTGATTTGTGAGCTCATCAAGTTGTGAAGAATTTCAACACTTAGAAAAATTTTATGTTTCTTGACTTGTAAGTCAACTTTTGCAACAAACTTCAAGAGGATTTTTGACATAGTTAGTTTTGGAATTTGAAATTGTGTAAAACATGAATTTTTTAGATCATTTTTTGCGCATTTTAAAAAGTACAAGAGCATTTTCTCAACCTTTGTGGTTAGGGAGAATCGAAGAAGGCAAGTTGGGCATTTTTCATGTCATAAAACCAATTTCAGCACTTGTATTTTGATGCATAAACCACTCAAACCTCTTCTAATAACTTTCTTAATTCCTTCTTTGATTCTTAGAGACTTAATTAATGATATTACAATTCATTTCCACGAGAAAAAGATCAGATTTGGATTAAATGAATTGTTTAATCATGCAAGTGGATGCAAGTGGCAAGGAGAGAGGAACTTTTTGCAAGTTCTGTCACAACATAGCTACTACATCAGTTGCACTCTTCCTTTCACTTTAAGACCACTATTTACATGCTATAGATGATGATGAAACACATATAATTGTGGCTCATGCTCAAAAGAAAGATCTCAAGATGGATATGCTCTTTTTGCCTCCAAAAAGGGCAAATTTGGCAAGATGATGCAATCTGCCCATACCACTTGCTTTCCAAGCTTGCCTAAAAATAGGACACTCTCCTCACATCCAAACTACACCAGATTGAGCTAGAAACCAAGCAAAATCTCTCTCATTCCTCAGATCACAACCTTCTTGCAAGCATTGAACTTGTTCACTTGAAGCACAAAATTCTTCCTTTACATAAACCCTTCTAAAACCCATTCCAATCATCAAACACCTCCACCAACACTTCAAATACATCACAAATAAATTATTGAATCTGTTCAAACACCAACCATCAACAGAAAACTCCTCATTCAAAAAGTCAACTGTCAAACCAAGATAGTTTGACTTTCTGCACATATGAAGCTACAACTATGTCCACTTCATTTCCATCTATTCTAACCCTTCAAACACCTCACATATAAGTTGTTTGTACTATCCAAATCATCATCACACTTCTGTAACACCATTTCGGAGATTTCACTTTGAAAGTTCTTGGTCATTCTTGCAAATGGAAGTCATTTTGTCAAGGCAGTGTAGTTGGGGATGTTTTGATCATTTGAACATATCATTTGAAGCATTTTGAAGCTGATTGGATCATCACATCTCAACTGGAATTCTTGCTTTATGCATTTTCTTAAGGAGGCTACAAGAGGTAAGTGCTCATAACTATCCACTTTTAAAGTCATGCAATTTTTTTATGTACATTGAGTTTGGACATGTTTGATATCTGTTATAAGTCATGTTTGAACCTTGGTTTGTTCTTGAACTTGTATGGTTATGACTGTCACATTGTTTTTGCTTCCTAG